CTTACGTCACGTGAGTGCGACGGAGTGACGTACGTGCCAACACGGATGACCCGCCACGCATCCACGCAATCTGCGTGACACGGTGGGGTAGTTTATGCGTACACTTCGGCACAACGAATAACTCTCTCGTACCTCGCAATGAAGCTCTTCGTAACATTATTCTGGTTCTTCTCGTGCGGTATTCTTTACGTCAAGGCAAGGGTGGATGGAAATGAACATTTTCGTGGGCTCGGTCCTGTGAACGGCGATCCCAACGACGAACTCTATTACGACCAGAAGGCTTATCTCAAAGCCATCAGTGTACCGAAGGCTTGGGGCATCCTGGACTCTACTCCGGAGAGAACGCCAGTGACCATCGCAGTTATAGACGATGGAATCGAGGCAAGTCACCCTGACTTGAAGGGTACCGTCATCAAGGGCTACAACGTCGTTGATAAGAATGATGATACCAGTCCTCAAGGACCGCATGGAACCAACATGGCTGGCATCATTGGTGCTATCAGAAATAACAAGATCGGTATTGCGGGTATTCTCGACGGTGTGCGCATACTGCCCATATCTACGGGTGAAACGTCGGATGAAAACAAGGACGCTGATGCTTTCGAGTATCTCACCCTTAAGAAGACAGGTGATGTTAAAGTGGTCTTGCTTACGGATGGGTTCAAAGTACCCGTCCCATTCCTGATGCATAAAATTCAAGCAGCCGTTGCAGCTGGCATGCTCGTTGTGATAGCTGCAGGAAATGAGCATCTGGACATGGACAAGACCAAACGCTATCCTTGTCCCCCCCCGGGACCACACAGGGAAGGAATCATCTGTGTTGCAGCCACAGGTGATGGCATGCGGCTTGAGGACGTGAGTAATTTCGGCTCGGCTGTTGACATAGCCGCTCCGGGTTATCTGATATTAGACACAGATCTTGGTGGGTTGTATTCTGCCGGTACGGGCACTTCGGGTGCAGCCGCCATCGTGGCAGGTATAGCTGGGATGCTCTACAGCCTTGAACCTTCTGCGAAGACTAAGCTGACTCCTGCTTATATCAAGAGTATCATTATGGATACGGCCACCAAAGGTGTCACGGACAGTGAAGGAAAAAAGACTCTCTCCTTCGGCCGCGTGAATGCTGCGGCGGCTGTTGAGAAGATACTTGGAAAAGGGACGGTATAATTTCCCCATTTCGACTTCATCTCATAACGACGGAGGCATTCACATATTTGTTTTGTGAACTTTCGTCTATCTTTGTGGTCCTTCCCTTGTTGGATAGATTCTCGATTTATTGCTCAAATCCCATTCTGAATGGGCCATCCACCATTTCTTGCGAACGTGAAGATCTGATGTCGCATACAGCCGTGTAGCTGGGGATTTGGTATAGATAATTTTTTGAGTTTCACGCACATGTGTCGAGTTCGTAGTTCATGCCGTGGATTACCGTTCGGATCCGTGCTGTTGAAGCAAGTAAGAGCGATTGATGTGAATTGTAACCGTGAGCAACTTTGATTGTTG